GCAGGACCTTGCACTTGGCCTTCCTTATATCTGGTCTAAAACTACCCTCTTCTAGCTTAAAACCATTACCCCTTGTCCTATTGTAACAGACCCTGCTCTAAAAGGTTTGTCCTCATCTTTCTTGTAGCCCCTTCAGGTACTGGAAGGTGCTGTAATGTCTTGCCAGAGCCTTCTCTTCTCCAGGCTGAATGACTCCAACTCTCTCGGCCTTTCTTCATAGGAAAGGTGCTCCAGTCTTTGATCATTTTCATTACTTCCTCTCGACCCACTCCAAGAAAGTCCGTGTCTTTCCTGTGCTGAGGGCCCCAGAGCTGGACACAGCACTGCAGGTGGGGTCTCACGAGAGCAGAGTAGAGGGGGAGAATCCCCTCCCTCGACCTGCTGGCCACACTTCTCCTGATACAGCCCAGGATACAGTTGGCTTTCTGGGCTGCGAAGCCCACACTGATGGCTCATGTCCAGCTTTTCATCCACCAGTACCCCAAGTCCTTCTCCTCAGGGCTGCTCCTCCTTCATCCCCTAGCCTGTACTGATAACGGAGGTTGCCTCCACCCAGGTGCAGGACCCTGCGCTTGGCCATGTTGAACATCATGAGGTTCACACGGGCCTGTTTCTTGAGCTTATCCAGGTCCTTCTGGATGGCATCCTGTCCCTCAGGCACGTCAACCACACCACTCAGCTTGGTGTCGTTGACAAACCTGTTGAAGGTGCACTCGATCCCACTGTGTGTCATTGATGAAAATATTAAACTGTACTCCATCTCGACATTGAGCTGTTGACCACTACCCTCTGGATGTGACCATACAACCAGTTCCTCATCCATCAAACAGTCCACCCATCAAAGCCATATCTGCAATTTAGAGAATTTTGATGTTGCATTGTGTAATTCTTCAGCCCTTGCAGTCATAGTTGAGGCTCACTGCAATGGCAGGAACACAAGTGATGCTTGTGGTATTTTTTCTCTAAGTTTATATTGCCATGAGTTGTTTTCTTTTCCAACAGATTTCTGTCTGGCATTTTGAGGATGGGTTTTGGTTTGGCTCACCTGTCTGGAACTCATCAGGGATTATTTAGGGGAAAATTGTTCATAACTATCATAAATAATGATAGTATGAATGGTATGAATGAAAGCAAAAGGCTTAAGTAAGGATGTGTTTTAACTTTCACAGTAGTTCAAAACTCAATATTGTCCATTCTTAGATCCTGTCTACTTGAAACATTGTGGTGTTTGGTTTTTTTTTTTTTAAGTCTGCTTGTATTATTTTATCCATTAATTTGTTACCAAAGGTTGTTGAAGATACAAAAATGTTAAGTGCAATAAAATAGCCAATCTGTTGTTTGGTGTGAGGGATTGGTTGAAGAATAAAGTTCATTGAAATATCATTGCCTAAAAAGCAAGCCACGTGACTTGTGTTGAAATAGTGATTTGCATTATATAGCTTACAAAGTTTTGACAGCTTCCCTGATAGATGTTATGATCAACTACTTACTGAAGTCAACAGAAATACTGAAAGGCGTTTGAAGCATTGCTATAGCCCATGTTTCCCATTTATTGAGTACACTGGGTTCTGATACTTTCTTTCTTTCGATATTTTCAACAATTCATCTTATATTCCTGGTTCTACAATTCAATTTTGGTTCCCTGCTTTAGAGGGAGACTAGTTTCCTCCTTAATGCTCATTTGCCACTTGTAGTCTCTGTGTGTGTTCATGTTTATGCATACACTTGCAAACACAGGTAGTAGGTTTTCTTATAGCTGGTGGAAACATTTCATTTAACAGTGATTTTGCTCTGCACTGTAAAATTCAGTGCCCATTCAGAATTACCTGTTAAAGCTCCTGTAGTCAGGCAGTTCTGGCTTTGCTTCAGGTTTAAAAAGTTTAGGATATAAAGCTTCCAGCAGCTCTGGATCATCCCTAATGGCTTCTATCCAGGGAGACTGATAATACTTTGGCACAGAAGTAGTGTTGAACTTTTCAGGAGGAATTTCTTTCAGTGGTCCAGAATAACCTGCAAGGTGATCAGGGCAAAACCATTATAATAATACTCTGCATTTTCTGCTTTGTTACCACCATCCCACGCAACTAGTAAGTAACTTCCCGTCGTTTCACAGTTAGGTAAAATGAACAAGTGGATCAAGTCACCCTGCCAAAGATACACAGAAACAGAAAGCGGCAAGGGGAATGTGTAGCCTTCTGCATAACTGCTCGAGTATTCCACCCTCTTTTGAGCCTGATTATTTTAGTTTTATATAAATTTGTTTCTAACATTATAAGCATTTGTTTGAAACCAGACTATAGCTACACAGCCCTTGGGCTGAATTCACAAGAAGATTTTTAAAACAGCCTTTTGGTTAAAACTAAGATAATTCTATAGTCTTTGGGTTAGATTTTTCCTAACTCCTCTTAATAGTTCCAGATCACAGCCATTATAGTGGAGTTTTTGTCTTTGCCTCTGCCTTAGGTGTTTTAAAATGTCCTACCTACTTGGTTCTCTGGTCTTTTTCATCATCTGAAAAAGTGAAGAATTGGTTTTTTTCATAATCATCTGAGGATCAGGCTCTGATCAGAATTTTGCTAAATAAATTAATTCCCTATTCATTGGGATTTCTTCTAAAGTCAAGTACAAAATGGCAGGAATAGATGGGGGGGTGGGGGCAGACCTTAATGTACAATTTGAATAATTAAAACCAGCAAATTATCCTTTTATTTATATAAATATACTATTTATTTGAAAAACAAGGGAAATCTATTCTATCCTTTTACCCTTTCTCTACATCTAGCTCTTTAAATTAATGCAATTTCCTTCTATAAGCTTAAAACCCCCTGGTGATTTAATATCTACTCTTTTTTTCAGGCCTTTTTTTGCCTAAAGAAAGGCTTGAAGATTTCTATGATATCGTAGCAATAGAAATTACCTCTGTTCACATTGTATTTGACCAATGGATGCACGGAGTCACCAACAGAGTAGCATTGACCTAGTTTACATAGACTGGAAAAGGTCTGCACAAAACATGCATTGAGTAATTCTGAACAAAGAATGAATTTGTAAAAAACAGTCTGCTCATGGATAATTCATAAACAGGAAGAAGGACTATATCACGGAATAAATTAATTAAAACAAATTGTCCTTCTCTAGTCTTTAAAGAATACAAAATAAGGCCTTCTTGTAGCTCACTGCTTTAAATAAAGGCAACAGTATCCTCACAGTTAAGGACTTAAAAAAGAACAGTTGATACAGCCAGAGGCAAATTCCTTTTCAAGTTACTCTTCTGTAAAGGTTTCTACCAAAACTTGCAGTGACTTCGGATTTACGTTTATGGGTAATTAAACTACAGTGGATAACTTTCAGACTGTTGAGTGGTGTGTTGCATATTAGAAACAAAGGTTTTGCAAGGGAAAAATCACTGTATTATTCTGGTTCTAAAACTGAGGGCCTGTTTCTCAGTATTTCTAACTCTGGTAAATATAGGAGCAGTTTCTCTTAATGTATGTTTTCAGTTAAGGATGAAGTAGTACAAAAGGCGTATCAAATCCTTAAAAATGAACAGAAGCAACTGAAGAGCACCGCTTTACATTTCTGTGTGAGATTCTGATGAGTTACCTGACTCAAATTTTCAATTTCTAATAGTAAGTCCAGTAACAAATTCTTACTGAGGATACGGTTTTATAAAGAGGTCCTTCCTCTGTTAAATATATCTAATGTCGGTAAACACATATATTACCTGGGGCAATGTTGTCAGGATGTGGGGGGCTCCGGGGATCAGGTGTATTAGGAGGTGTCATTGGGGCATGCTGGGGAATTCCTTCAACACTGAGGCCATCCATTCTAACGCTCTGTATGGGCTCTCCACGCTGCATTCAGATAGAAACAAATGTCATTGACAGCACAGGCAAAAAGAGCCTCTGTCATTTTCTGTTGAAGGTTGGAGTGGTAACTCCAATTAACAGCCAAGATCTGAGACACAGGGTATACTATCCAAAGGCATACTCTCCTGCTGTTCAGCACCCTCTTTGCTAGGTAGCACTCCCCAGGTCTTTCTGCTGTTAGCCAGAAGATGAAACACTTTCACAACTCTCTTACATTGGCTATGTAAGCAAAACTGAATGATTTTTCAGTGTTACGAATGATATCCCAGCAGAATTTTAAATGCTGCGTTACGGGTTTGTGAATGCTGTATTGAACGGGTTAGAGGTGGTGTGAGCTAGGTCAACAAGACTCCCAAAGCCTTATAACCATCCAGCTGAGTTGTCTGACCTTCTCCTAAGTTTAGGATATTTAAATATTAATGTGTCATCTATGAATAGTTTATCCCATCTGCTAGTTACACTGATCACCACAAAATCTGCCTGTGCATGTGGGCTGTGTGGCTCACAGCAAAGAGTAGACCTGGTCACTTTGCCAGGGGGGCCCATAAAATGTGTCCCTTGCATCACTAGATGCTAGAAGCTGCTATGAGCCAGACAGTACCCTTACAACCCGGATCAAGGTATCTGGCAAGTTGGAGCCATTTGTGTTTCAAAGCACCGACTCTTCAAAGTGTCTCTTCCCGTATCAGTTGAAAGTTCCCTGCGTTTGTTGAATGGCTTTTGTTTGGGATTTTCTTTTCCTTTATTTGTAATAGAAATGACAACTTCAGTACGGGTCACTTTCTGGAGATTCATGATATGCTGTTATTTTCCACCCTCCTATGGGGTCATTGCTTCCAAGGAAACATCAAAAGGCTTAATCATTGTTGCCTAAATACAGAATTAGAGTCTCCTAAGAAGTCAGTATCTTATTTTAGGTATGACACATAGGCTAAAAGCAATTTAAATATAGACTGTTTTAGAGTTAGTTTCTTAAAGTAGGAAAGCAAACAAATAATACTTGTTCAAACTTGAAACAAAGAAAGATCAAGGCAATATGTTTTCTAGCCGTCCTGAAGTATGTTAGAATGATTAATTTTGGCAGGCAGAATCATAAGGATGGTGAAGACACCAGTGATGGCTTAACAGGCATTTAAGGGAAGGGAACAGAAACCAAAGAGGCATCATTAATATTTTTTTTGCATGTCAGATTGTCATACTGACTGTATGTACAGCCTGTGTACTCTGTGTTTGTGTGGGAAGAAGTAGACTAGAGGGGAACTGATCTGTCAGACTTTGTAGCAAAAGCATGGAACTGAATACAGAAATTCTGATGAGTGATGGTGGTGTGCTCAGAATTTGTCTGTGTAGCTCCTAATACTCTATAGAGGGAGAAACTGGAGGGACAGTAATCATAGATGGGCTTCTAAATAATAGTGTTCTAATAATAGGTTCGGGTGTTTAATAGTTATTCTGATTTTCTATATGGGACTTCTTTTGTGCAGATTTATTTTAAAAAGGCGGATTTATCAAAACTCAAACATGAACCCATTTGATCTCTGTGTAATGTAATTTCTGTTTGAAATATCTGCACTGAAAAAAAGAAACTTTATGACTCTTCTCCCCAAGTGAAGTTACTTCTTTTGTATGGGAAATGTAAAGTCCAGAGAATTACGAATGTTTTTACCTTTACAGTCAATAAAGCATAGAGAATCCCTTCTTCAAGAAGGGAACAAAAATATTTTAGAGATTTCAGTTGTGCTGCCGGAAATATTGAACGCGGCTCCAATAATAGCCTCTCTGCCTGTTAGGAGATCCTTCAACATGTTGGTTAGCGTGGACAGTGGTAAATTGCAAATGCCTCTTTTACTGTCTGTTCCCAAAGCCTCCTTATGAAATGCAGTTAAGGAAAAGGTTTCCTTAGAATCAACAAGTTGTATTGATTTCATTGTTTCTAGTTAATTTACACCGGTACATGTATTTTCTTTATCAAGCTTTAACATAATATGAGTAAGACCTTTGGCACTTCGCTGTTTCATTTAGTTAATTATTTGTTTCCTATTTGTACCAACACAACCTTTAGATTATACCACAGTACAGTACACATAGTTACCATTTTTCTTATCCGAAGTGAAGATTAAAGAAGAATTGAGTCAAAGTCTTTGTATGGGTTCTGTAGGCGTTGGATGCTAACACTATCGTAACACCACCTATGCAATGATTAGTAGAGAATTGCTGTTCTACAAGAAATATTTCCTAGGTTAATAATAATTAATTTTTGTAGCACTTACTTCTTTTCACTTTCAAAGCAGCTTAAATGTTCTAGGACAAATTCTGCCACTTTAGTCATGTAGCTTTATATGTGAAATCACTGAGGATGCATACATGTAACTGAGAAGCAGAATTGAATACAATACTGGAATCAGGCTGCTTATGTGCTGTATTAGACTGGGCATAGAGTATTCATGTTCAAATAATTACACCTTGGAGCACATTGCAGAATTAGGTAAAATATTTGAATGATGTTGTCTGTATTTTCAGATGTTAAGCAAAAGTTTTAAATATTTTGCCACAGATAGACAAACACCAGGTGCATTTAGTTCCTGCCGTGAGGATTCCCAGGGTATCACTAATGCTTTAACTCAATTTCTGAAGGACTAGTTGGAAAAATAATTGTCTTTCAGTAACAGGTTCCATCCTTTTTCTCCCCGTCGAGACAGGCAGGCCAGAAGTGTATTAGTTCCAGTAGTGAGAGTCATTTTGCTGCCTGGGAACCACATTAAGACCACCAACCTACTTTAATAGAAATACTGGTTGCATGAAAAAGACTCTCATTTCTTCCAACCTTTTGAATATCATTAACTAGTGCATTTTCGTATTAACTGGTTAATTTTCAGTAGTTAATGAGCCAAGCGTTACAGAATAAGAACTCTGGTCACTAGCAACCTGAATCATATTTGAGTGAGAGTGATGTGAATCTGATGTATTAAGGCTTTTAGATTTTTCATTTATTTATAGGAGCTCAGTAAAATACAAATGACTCACTTCATGTTAGCCTCATTCTAGTGCAGGATTTTGCTTTTATGCTTCTTGAAACTACAAATAAATCATGCTTAATGTGTATCATGAGCACCAAGGGAGCCCCAAGCTAGTCTCACTGCGTTTCATTAACAAGTTATTCCAAAATACTCACATTTCTTGGCTTGTTTGCTACATAATGATAGTTTTCATAGGTGTATTTGTCAGATCTCCGCTGGCGTCTCTTGAAGAGTCTTGCACCTCTGTTGCTGAGCGTCGATAGTTCCTCCACCATGATATCTCTGGGGGTGCTGACCTTTTTTCCGAGGTTTAAGCTGGGTGAGACTGCAATACAATGGATAAATACATACATCCGTTTTTCTAAAATGCCTGATACTGTATATACTACACCTGAAAAGGAACAGCATGTTAATGCGTGGTTATCTGTCACATAACATAGCTTCATACGGTGTTAGTGAAATTAATTATTCTTCCAAAATTTTGGAGCACTGAACACCACAAACTTTTTTTTTTTTTTTTGAAGATGCTAAGCACCTCAAGCTCAGAGTTTATCTCAGCTGAATGGCATTCAGCTGTTATCAAAATCAGGTCTGTAATGTCCTACATTCCATCTTAATAGCAGACTAGTAAAAACTGGCTTCCGCTGAAACAAGGAATGGAATTCCTTCTGACCCTAGTGTTCCCACGTCAAACCTTCAGTTAGCTTTGTGTGTCCTGCATCGGATAGATGAGCAGGTAACCCTTTTAAACATACCTACCAGGTCTTTACTGCTTATACACATTTTATTTTCAATTATTCTTTAATTTCTGCTTGCTTTTGAAATCCAGGGCGTGTTTTGAACTCTAAGTGTGGATTAGAAAGTCTGTGTAAAATAGTATTTTTAAACTATTTTTAAAGAAGCTTTCTAAATAAAGTTCAGGGTGTTGAAAATGAGAGCTCTAACAAAGAATTGCACCATGCTTCTAGGAACTGATATATTTCAAACATTTTCTTTTCGGTCCTCTCTAAGAAAACTGAACTGCTGGAAGCAATATTACTTTCTTCCACTGCTTGGGAAAAATTCCTTCTTTGTCTTTAGTGACCTCCTGGACAATTTGAAAATGAAACTGCATAAGCAGGGGAAGGAGAGAACACTTGGGACTGTAAATGGAAAACTGAATATCACAAACTCTACTGGTCATATTCATGGTTATGTCTGTGAAACTGGGGTGCTGGTGGATGAGGAAGCTGTTGCTCAGTGACTGAATGTTCTCACTACAGCTCCTCAACCTATAGATAAACCTTAAGCTTAGAAGGCAGTAACTTCAACATTGAACAAACTATTTTCTACTGATTTATTTCTTCTTAGAAGGTTGTAGAATATAACAATTAGATCACATAGTAAAACCAGATTTTTAAAGAAAATAATTCCTATGCCACTTACTTGAGTAGTTAGCATTATATGAATTGAAATTGTTCTCCTCAGTTGTTCATAAACTTCAGGAAGAAAAACAGGAAGATGCAGTGTGCTTTGAGGTTTATAACAGTGGTCTAGTATGTTTCTTTGATCCACTTATTCAGAGTCACATTCATTATTTCTTTAATAATAAGACATTCTGTTCTTCACATATTCTTATGGTCTACAGGATTTAAAATTCTGAACTTTGACATACATTTTAATGCATTAAAAAGAAATGAAAGCAAATTATGTGTAAGACACTGTTTCTTGGTTGCAGACTAAGCACACAGGAAGTCCATCTTAAAATTAATATTGCAACTTAATAGACTGCAGAAGGTACCTGTGTCAAAGTTTCGCTTTGAATAAATGGCATATGTCGCCTAGTAACTTTATGTTGGAAGAACAGTGTGATTTGCTGATGTTTAGGAAGACTTACTTGAGGCAGCTATATTAAATATTTAGCCAAAGCTGTATAGACAAAGAGTTTTCCATGCAGTAAATCAAACAAGTTTGTGGGCCCTGGATTGCATCACTGTTGACCCACTTCTGTTCGTACTGGTTTAAATTGAGTGTTTGCAATAGATTTAACTGGAGCAAGAGGAAGCTAACTATCATGAGCCAGAGCATGCACTTCTGCTTTAAAAATAGTACGTGCAAAGAATCCTAACACCCTTCTGTTATTTAAGAGGTAACTACAAAACAGAGAGTTCTTAACACAGAAGAAAATGACTCGGCTTGCCCAATGTATCCTTATCAGTGACAGATAGTGGCAGGGTTTTGGCTCTGTGGTTGAGATAAGTGCACTTGTTACTGGCCTGTCGCCTGAAATTCAGACCCACAAGTCATATTTTGATTTCGTCATTACTCAATATTACTCCAGGGGTATGGACTGTTGGATGGTTTTATATATATATATATTAGGACTAAGACATTTACCCATCAAATCAGTGACCTTCTCATGTAGAAAAAGCTTTTCTTCATTGTACACAGAGAAGGTAGTAAGTACATCCTCACAGACTGGGGTCCCAAGGTAATTGCAGATCTCTGTCCAAACCACTCAATATTCTTTTGTGACATGCTGGATGTCAACTATTCCCTTACATATGTACTGGTCTTGTCAGTGTTAACTGAAGGCTCCAAGGTACTTGTAACCCACAGTTGTGTACTATTGTGTATCCAGGCAGCATCCCAAAAACCTAAGTGTGAAGTTAATTTGAACCCCTTGCCAGCTAAAATCTAATCATCTGTCTAGTTTTATGATGTGTCTAGGGATTGTTTCAGTGTCAGTGCAGAAGAGGTGATTAAGAATGAGAAAAGGAGGACATTTAGAGGATGATAGAGAACATCAATGTTGTAAATGGACATTGGAAATTAATATTGAAGTTTAATTCATAGTTTAATCCTAATCTCAACCTTTATCTTAATTTCTTAATTTGTTCCTGCCAAGTCCTTCTTGTCCTGTGCTTAAAATCATAACAGACTGTATTTAAATATGATTTATATAGTTCCTCCTGCATTCACTGCCTAATCCCCCTTTAATCCTCCAGTTTACAATCTTCTAAATACCTTAATCTGGATTATAAATTTTAATAATGAATATCAGATAGTATGTTTGTTGTAGGATCAGAAATAAGATTTTTTAACTATATCATGAAAGATAGTTAATCATGTAGCTACTGAAGAATGAAGTTTAGAGGTAGTATAGAACTGGACATGAGGTTGAAACGTAGTTGAAGGCTAACCTGATGAACTCCAAGGGCTTCTTTAAACCTGTGTATTTACATACATGATTTCCTCTACCAAGTAACCTTAGAAATGTTATGATTAATCCAAGTCTGCCAGTGAAAAACCAAGGGCTTGGGCACATCACTACATCCATGTGCCGATTTACTACTTCACTCTCTTTTCTGAGACCTTGAGCGAAACGTAGTTGAAGGCTAACCTGATGAACTCCAAGGGCTTCTTTAAACCTGTGTATTTACATACATGATTTCCTCTACCAAGTAACCTTAGAAATGTTATGATTAATCCAAGTCTGCCAGTGAAAAACCAAGGGCTTGGGCACATCACTACATCCATGTGCCGATTTACTACTTCACTCTCTTTTCTGAGACCTTGAGCATTTACAGTTAGTGTCTATTACTGCTGCTTGCTGCATTTTATGTCATGTCAAACTTTTCCAAAACACAAAGTCACGTCCCACAAGCCAGCAGGAGATGTGATCTTTCAGTCATTACCAGTCTTGCCCAGAGATTGGTAGTATTTGAGACACTGATAAAAACTTGGCTGATTTTGTATCTTGCCAACAACTGCTTTTGCTATGAGTATCTTTCAGTAAGAAATGTGAGATTCACTGTTTACCTGAAAGCCTTGAAATAGAAAGGGGCTGAAATAAAAAGGCAGAAGGTATGCTCTCTGTGTGTCGTTCCAAGGTACCAAGGCTTGCATTACCATTCCAAGCCACCAGAGCTTTTTTCCTGAAAGCAGGGAGATTTAAATAAGGTATCAGGAAGAAGTTCTTCCTGAAGAGGGTGGTGAGGCACTGGAACAGGTTGCCCAGAGAAGCTGTGGATGCCCCATCCCTGGCTGTTGTCCTGGTGTCCCTGCCCATGGTAGGGGTGTTGGAACTAGATGATCTTTAAGGTCCCTTCCAACCCTAACCACTCTGTGATTCTATGATAAATCTTACTGCTACTGTTTACCTCTGTTAACAGTGGGGAGTTTAATAGGTCTGCGAGACTGGCCAACACAGTACATTTATTTTTTACATAATTACCGGGTCCGGGACCTTCTTTACTAATAGCTGTGCAAAACCCAGAAAGAGAGCAGTTTACCCTCCAGATCTCACGTTAAGCTTGTTTAGTTAACTATTAGGGAGAAAATAAAATTTCAGAAATTAATAGAGCTGAATTTAGTAATTTATAAAACAGATTGCTCTTTGATTTTTCCAAGAATTGTTCAGATTTGGTCTCAAAGAACTAGTGTATAATTTGTGTGATTACAGCTTTGATTATCCTTCTGTTTCTTAACTGGTTTCACTGAGCTTGTACAGTTATAAATTTCAGACATTTATCACACCCATTTAATGAAATTTCATTTTATTAAAAACATTTAAATATCCCAGGCATCTAAAGAAGATGCAAAAGTAAAACGTGCACTTAAAGAGTTAGTATTGTCTTCAGTGACCATATATCACAGCATATCTTGTAGAATGAGCTGTCATATCTATGTGTACGAATCTAAATTTGACAGCAAATCTGATAATACATAAATAAAAAAAAGGACAGATTATTTGAAGCGAATGCCAAGCATCAGCACAGATTATCCAATAACTCCAATGATTTCAAGGACTGTATGGTAGATTTATTAATATTGCTATGAATAGTAGCAACATTTACTGTGACATGCCTGGTTCCAAACAAACATATGAAAGACATTTTATTTTGCCCTGAAGAGTTTATAGGGTGGTTCAGGCACATATAGTACTTGGGTTTACAATACTTTAAAACCCCACAAACCAAGAATAGAATTGTAATTAAATCTGTAAGGGCAGACTGGCTTTCAGACGTGTGTTCAGTGGAGAATGGAAAGAGGAAAGAGCTATTTGCTTAGGAATGGAAATTACAGAAAAAACTTATGGAAAATATCAGAAGGATGAGGACTAGGCACTGAAACTTATAGCTTCTTTTTCTAAAAACCTTCTGTCTCTTGCTCTACTCCTCCTGCAGTCACAATGGAGAGTGAGTACAGAAACCATCCCCAAAATCTTGGGAGCAAAAGCCCACAAGAAAGATATTAATTACAGGAATTTAATGTTCAGTCTTTTATCCTCTGAATGCCCTAATTGTCATAAATCCTAAATATTAATGGAGCTCCCTGTTTTTCAGTGAGGCTTGTGGGGTGTTTATCACTTCTAAAAATTTGGTCTTTTATGTCGTTGGTAAAAAGGCTTCATAGGGAGGACTGGAAGGATCTCCAAAAGCATCCAGCACATACCTATTGAAAGCCGAGCTCCCTACTGAGTTAATTGTTTCTTAAGGTGTCACAGTAGAAACGTAATTTTAAGAACCTGTTTTAGAAAATCAAACTACCTTCTCATGAGTTGTCTGCATTTTCATCAGTCCAACAACAACAGTAAAATTTCTTTGTATAAGATTAAATGGTGGCTGTCCACTAGAGAGAATTGCCAAACGCTAGTAAAATTTGTTAGTTACAAAGATAAAGTTGGAGAGGAAGGAACAGAGATGTAAACATTTGTTTCAAAATTTTTTTATCATTCATATAAAAATGCAGAATGAAACAGAGCAAAAAAGAGGATACAGATCAGCATTTTCTTAGATGATAGCCTTTTAAAATGGAATGAAGTCATGTTATTAACCCCAAATAATATTCTGAAAGGCTATCCTAGCAGAATCTACATCAGCTGTTATATTACTTCATTCCTCCACAGCAGTTGTTCATCTGAAAATAGCTTTCAAATGAAAAGAGGCAACTACAAAAGGATTAGTTACCATAGGCAGCATGATACTCCCACAAGATTATTTATGGCAAAACACCCAGAGACAAAGCTGTAAGAGAGTTAAACTCCATGATTAAAAAAATGTATTAGGGAGGGCTAGAGGACATTGCATATACAGTAAGCTGAGTTCAGCGCTATACCATTTCTCTGTATTTCATCCATAATGGCTGATGCTTGTTGTTTCCTCTCTTTGACCATGGCAGAATGTGATAACATTGTGATTTTCTGATACGATTTTTCCTTGCTGAAAAAAAACAACACATTTTTACATTGTTGAGCCAGCTTGCACAATTCAGCCAACTTTCTTTTCTAATAGCCTGTTTATAATAGCTGAATAGTGAAGTTACTTATGATTTAGAAATCTGCACTCTTAATTGTGCAAAATGCACTGGCATTTCTTGCTTACAGACAGATGTAAGGACATGTTCTGATGGATAGAAGTTTTGAAGGAACGGACTTTGAGTTGGCTATGTAAATTCTGTAGCAAAATCAGTGTCAGTGGTCTAGGCCGCCTCATATCTACGCATTATGTTAAAAGATGCAAATTCCTAACTAGTATTTTAATTACAACTTGGTTTATGATTTCAGAAATGTTATATTTTGACATTTCTTAATCTAATAACGAATTTGAGGAGCTAAATGAGATGCTCTGGCATCTTTAAAGAAAGTGCATTTCTGGCTAAGTAAAAAAATTATACATATTTTTAATTGCAGAGTCAAGAGGTTACATAAATGTCTTTTATATGACAGTTTGTAGGACAGACAATGTCAAAATATTTCAGGAAACAGTACACTTACCCTCCTGTTTTGTTGCGCAGAAAAAAGTGGTCTCAACCCTTTAGTTGAAGCTTCAGGAGTTAGTTATGTATGGGGATGACCTGCCTGGTCCAGGATGGTGTCTACCCTTGTGCTTGGATCTGCATGGTACCTAGTACCGAGACGAACTGGGGGCTGATCCTCTTCAAAGGGATTGGCATCCAGCTGACATCAACCAGTTTATATATAGAATCAAACACTCCAGCCACTCATATCTTCCTGGCGAAAGAAGAGAACAGAAAAGATTCAACTGCACCCACAACAAAGAGAGTTTATATCCCTTTCAGAGCTTATTGGAAGATTTAATGGAATGCTCCCCTCATACTCCTACAGATCATCTCCTCATCACCTCTGAGAATAATAATCTCTGTGTTATAACCGGGAAAGAGACATTTAAAAATAAGGTGTTAAATATATGGATGGGCAAGACTGTATCAGATGAGAATGGCACGGGCTAATCCTTTAGTGAAAGACGAAACCATGCTTCAATAGTGGCTGATGGCTAAAGTCCGTGTCAGATGGCTGATACACAGTCTGTTCTGAAAAAGAAATGAGAAACTTTTCACTATTCTGTGTGTCAGGGAGCAATTGCTTAACAAGCACAGGCCTTGCAAACTTATTCAAACTCTGCTTTGTGTGTTAGGAACAGAAACCTGCAGTAATTTGAATCTTAGTAATATTGAGCATTCCAGGATACTGTTGTATCAGTTTATCCAAGAAATGTGTGATGGGTAGAGCACAGAGATTTCATGATGGCAACGAACTTAAGACAGGAAGAAACTGGTTCCCCCTTACCCTCCTGTCTGAGTGCAGCTAGCTGAATTACGCCACAGGAAAGGCAAGATGACGTTTTTCTGTTTCTGATTGGATATGGGTTTGTTGTAGGAAGTTTCTTTTTCTTATGGAAAATTATGGTCTTGTTTGGCTTGGAGGGTTGATGAGAAAATTACTTGGATCCTGATGTAACAGGAGAAAGGAATTCTGACTGCAAATGGAATCTTGGAGAGTAATAAAATACGCCAACACAGTATGCATAGCTTTTCCAGCAAGAAGCACTCTGAGGCAGATAAAATCTATGTGCCTAATACAATGTCCTAAAAGTCTGCCTGTCTAAACAAAAAATTGCATTATTTTTACTCAAGCTTTCTATTTCTAGGTTTAGCTTTGCAAAACATTTTGCTGAGTTCCTAGACATCTCTGCTCCAAAGAAGTGTTCATTTTAATCCTCACTATCAGAATTTACCTGCTGCTGTTACTCATCAGCAATTCTTTCCTAGTTTTTGGGCTTGGATCAGCCAGTTTTGACAGTACAAGCAAGCCTGGTCAAATTCTTGGTGGAATCTTACCTATTCAGCTGAAGGCTAAAGATTGTTCTCAGTGGTTCACCACCAAGCTGTCAAGTGGGAATGTAAGAGTGTCTGTCAATGGTTCATGCTACTCACTGTTTGATTAATAACTTCATAATGAAGTAGAGAGTGTCAATTAAATGCTAACCTAGGAGAATGAAAGACAGTCTGTAAGGAAGAATTTAAATGTTAAATTAACTTGATGAAATGAGAAAAATAAATAAAATGCAATTCAGTAAAACCACATCAAATGAAATTATGAAGTTTGCATTTAACTGATCGGCACTGAACTCGTCTTTAAGCTTGAATTTTTGATCCAGGAGGAAATACCAAGAGGCATCCCAAATGGGATAGTTCTGTGTTTAATCTATTCCAATTTCCATTAACTAATTATTTGATAGAATAAAAAATACACGAGTAAGATGAATTGTGTGTACAGTACAGCCAACAGTTACTGCTGGATAACTGCAAGCTCTTAAGATTGCCATTCAAAATTACACTGAAAACTTGTTGAAATAATTGAAAATCAGTAAAATTAAGAAATAAAATCCAAAGCACAGTAGAAGGAAAAATCTATTGCAGGGAAAGAAACTAAGGAATAACTGCCAAATGCAATATGGCAGAAGAAGTATATTGAATCACAAAATAAATATTAGTCACTAGCGAAGTATGAAAAAAGGACTTTGCTGACAGATATTTTTATCTCTACATTTATCATTTAGAAGTTGAACCTTAAAAAACTTTGTAGAATGACTATCCCAGAATTTAATTTACTACCTACGAGTGTGTCAAGATTTTGCCATTAACTGAAATAGAAATAAGCATATGTCATTGCAGCTGGAATAAAGGGTGTTTAACTGTCATAGCTGCAGGTCTAGAACTGATCCTGTTGAATGCTACTTTCTTTTATAATGCTCAAAATCATTCAGGACCCCATAAAACATACCAAGCTGCTAAAACTTCATTCATATATATATGTGATTCATAGAATGTCCATAATAATGAGTAAAGGTTAAGGAAGGTGAAAGAATTACAGTGCCATGTGACACTGTAACAAAGTTAAAGTTGCATTTCAATGAGAAGCGTTATTTAGCAACTGGCAAACTAGGATGATTAAGTCAGCCTGTGAACAAGGACAGCATTTACTTGTCTTCTTCCATCTGGTCTTTTTTGTTTAACCAAGAAAGATTTTTCCTTTTGGTATTGTCTTTTCCAGCACCTTATGGGATCTTTCCCACCACACTGCTTCCTCTGAATTGCATAATTGACCATAAAGGAGTTCCAGGCTAGCATGTGGAAAAATCCTGAACTACATACAGCCATCTACTTCTGTAATTCATTTCTCTCTCATTTTCTCTCCTTCTCTGTACTTTTTGGGGTTTTTTTCCTCTTTTCTCTTCTCTTTCTTCAGCATGGAAGAGAATGAGTTGCTGTAGTTTTCTCTCAAACAACTTAAGCAAATCAGAAGCAGTTTAAGTGCTGAATAATGCCTCACTCCTTAGCAGGTGCTTAAATTCATCCTGAGACTGTGACTGCCATACGTGCTTAAATTTTATGACATTGCTTTAAATCAATGAACTATTCAGGGTATTAAGGTTAATAGATGTGGAGTGTCTTACTCACACTATGAGTGAAATCAAGAGGTTCAGGGGTTGGCTATGTCTGTAAAAAAGAGCTTGTAGTTGCTACACAATAACAGAGTCACTGCTCAATTAATGACTTAACTGATGTTTCTGTATTCTGAATCCATCTTAGCCCGGACAGCTATTCACAGGTATAACTGTTACTGTGAAATACCTGACTGGAGCCAAAGAATAAATTTGGTAGAGGTAGACTGCCAACAGTTGTTTTTTAAAATGAAACTGGTCCTTACAGATGTGGGGGCCAGTAAAGCATTGCGAAAATAAGGGATGCAGGAGTTTCCCTTCTGAAGAAAATTCCATTCTCTTCTTTTGCAGTAGAAGTCACAATAAAACTTTTTTTTTTTTTTTTTAAAGACAGAGAAGCAGAAAATGTTGTAGTCAGATTTACCTCACAGCAGATTTCCGTGTATGTATAGGATGTTTGGTTTGTGCTAAAGTCAGATGATGTGTATATAACAAAGAAATGAATGTAAATAAAGGCTAGCATGAGGAAAAAACTTGTTCCATTTGCCAAACAACAAGTTGCTAAAGAAAGCCTGTATTTTAATTTATTTGCTAAAATAAAGCCTTAAAGAGACCAGTCACATTCTCTGTCACAGGTCTTTCCAATTTGTATTTTTGTCTCAAATGCATTGAATAACTTTCTTCATCAGTTCTCTCACCTTCAGGAACAATCTGCAGATGTATTTCTCACAAATTTAGCATGATCTAAGTAAGTGAATGTTTTTCTTAACGGAAGTAGGGAGGTTTGTTACGTCTTTGTAAAAGTTAAACCCTGAAAAAGATAGGCCTGTAATCCTGCTTTTACTTAACTTCTGAAGCTTAGCTAACCTAAACCTCCCACATGCATTGCAAATGAAACTAAGTCCTATTATTGTTACAAATTTTCATTAAACACTTCTTGCATTCTGACAGAAGCAGTACAGGGTTCCCTGTTTTCACTTCTAGATTAAAATTAGTTTGAATGAAAAAAATTAATTGTAGACTTCTCTGGAATGTACTTCCCTCCCAATGAAAAGTATGGAAAAAAATTTTGTGAATATGTTCAGTTTTAAGTTTTGCTTAAGGAAAAAAAAAATTATTTTTACAGCTGAAAAATGAAGTATTTTCATTTATTTTTATTATTATGAGCTGGATTGGTAGTTTCTCTGTAGCTGCATTGGACAGACTGGCAGGAGGTCAAAACATTTGTGGTATTGATAGAATGTTTTCAATAACGTATGATGTATTTGAGAGACTTTCCAAAATACTGTTAGTGGTGTCTTTCTGTTCAGGATCCAAAAACTATAATTGTTTTTTTCTGGGATCCATAGGAATACATTCTGTGATTCATTATCCTCAAGTTTTTTTAAAGAAAATGGTGTGCTTTATTTTGAAGGATTTACATTTACCCCATCACATCTAGGAATAGAATAATGCAAAAAAAAGACCCACTACCAAAAAAAAAAAAACCACAAAAACAAAAAACCCCAAAACCACCCTCTTGTTTTAACTGCCTTGTCTGTAACATAAAATGACCTGAAGGAAGACGACAGGTAAATATTGCTGTGGCTCCCAAGCTCACAGACTGGCTTAATCATCCTAGAGTGCCATACATTAAATAATACTTCCCTTCACTGAAATGCATGGTTTGATAGTTACAGCTCATTGGAGACTGTGGTCGGTATTTTGCTGAAGCTAAATAATCCATAATGATAGGTACAAGAAGCACGGAGCGTTTCTTCAAGGGCATTTTTTCCGTGCTGTGGGACTCTTCTGCGTTTAGGACCCGCATATTAGAAATACATTTTCTGTGCAGAGGTGGTGATGGAGCAGAGCTTCATGTTTTTCTGGAGGAACAAGGTCGTCCCTGCTCCTCACTGAGATTTGTACAGTTGCCTCAGTAGCCCTGGGGATGCCCTAGTACCACAGGGAGGGCGGTAGTTTGGACTACTAGAGCAACGGATTAGGAGTGACTTCTCAAGATTTATCACAGATAGTTGTCTCACACTTACATGCTTTATTTCCAGTCTTTGAGAGTTGAAAGACTGTAATTTTAAGAAAAGACAAAGCTGAGAGCCTGATTTAATCCCAAGAGCTAAGGCCACAAGCATAGGCCTGTACTGTCAAAGACTTAA